TTTGTGATTGCCTCAAGCCAGTCTGGTCTTGTTTTAAGATCACCTTCAGCTGTGGAGGTGCAGAGTTTGTTCTTTGGACCACTTCTCTCTTACACCCATTTCCACCGATTCTTCTTTTCCTGTCGTTTCTTTTCGATCTTTGTCTAAAAGCCTCAACCTATGTAAAGCATGGTACAAAAAAAGCGCTGAAAGTCTGTTAATACATTCCCTTTAGCATTCTCTGCATATATTTCACACTTAATCTTTAGATTTGAAGCAGTCTTTTTAGTCTGTGCTAGTACAACACAGAGTCTAATGGAGCTCTGGACATGAGCTCCTAAGTACTCCTCAAAGCTCACAGAGCCCTCATCCTGCAGGCCCTCTATCTTACTGATACTACCTGATGCTCTGAACGACGCTTTCCTCATTTCTAGCAATCGTATTTGCAGCTGGATTAGACCTTGCAGAAATTGCCATGGATAACTCCTTCAGTACTTCCTTTGGATTCCTGACGGCAGTTGCTTTCTCTTGGTCCATACTCCACCAGCTGTGTGGTTTGCAGGCTGCGGGAGCCCCGCTAGAGCCCATCTTGACATGCAGTGGCTGAATAGCCCTAGCCTGGCCCCCACTGCTCAAAGCCTCTCGCCTTCCCTGCTGCCTTGCCTCACTCCCTCGGCTACGCAGGCACAGCTTTTTTGCAGGAGCGTATGGTGATCTCGATAAGGGGTTAAAGACTGGCGTTAAGGTTGGGCTAAAATCGCTTACGATATTTTAATGAAAAAGAGCGTGTATACCAAAGGTATTTTAAAATAGCAGTCATCTGCCCCAGCAATTTGACGTGGGTCATTTTATGGCTTCAGGGACATCTGTGTTTGTTTAACTGAGAGGGTGGTGTGGCAGCAATATCTGCTGCTGATAGAAATGCATGTCAAATGATGAGCTGAGTGTCTTTGCTGAGATAGGTGTGTTGACTTCTCCGGAGAGATTATGCCCTCGTTCTCAGCCTGCTTGCCAACTGGCTGTTCCCTTTGTCTGGGCTTCTGATATTCATATAAAGAGTGGTACAAAGCCCTGGCTTGTTCCGTGCAGCGCATGATCTCTGTTTTCTGCAGATAAATCTTTCTGACATGATGTAGCAGTAGCAAGCTGCTTAGTTCAACCGGCTTCTACTATCCGTTTCAGAAGCTTCAGTGGCCTCTAAGCGTTTCATCACAAATATTTTCTGACAAATCTACCAGAATACCGAGCAAGGAGGAGGAGAGTGAAGGTTCTGATCACTCTGCTCACAATCAAAGCAACATGTCGGTCGGCAGTACGAAAAATCCCTTAGCTCCTTCCTCAACCAGCAAACCACTGATTATCAATGACTCTCCAAAGAACATATTCCACAGCTATCATAAAATCAGCTCGCTTCCTTACGTTACTCTGAGTTTCTCCCCCCACATCAGCTGTGAAACCGTTAGCCAACCAAGCCTTCTAAATTATATCACAGAAACATTTTTCCTCAGCTGGGAGTAAGTATCACGCTCAGAACAATCCCCAGGATGATTGGATCTTACTCCTTTCACAGAACTGAAACTGCTCTTTTCTGAAAGGAGTCAAGTACCAACTTCTTTCTCCTGACCCTGCCTCCCTCTTCAGCTGTTGACTGTGAAATTCTCCTTATTTACCTGGCACTTTTACAGAGATTGGTAACGCATCGCTATACTTACTCGCTCCTAACATCTTTTTTGCTGTAATTGACAGTAGGTGTCTTTCCAGAGAAAAATGTCTCTGTGATGTTATAGCTGGGTCTCCAACCCTTTACTTCGCTACTTTCCCATCTTCTCTCCCACACGCAACTCCTTTCAGAAATGACAACCTCAAAAGCGTGCCCTCTGTCAAGAGAAGTTCCACAGTTATTCCCTTCCCTCAGTGCAGGTCAGCATAAGTTTGCCAAATTGAGGAATGCTGCCTGAGAATCACAAGATTTGACTTGAATCCAATTATGGATTTCCTTCTGGAATCTGTACCTGCTTAGGGTCAGTGTCCACCACCTGCAATGAGACTTCAGGCTCTAAAACAGCACCCTCATGAGATGCAATTTTAATGGCACTTGGGCAGAAATACTGATTCTTGATTTCATCTTACTTGAAGTATTTTACGAGCAATACTTTAATAAAAATGTTTAGTTAAAATGTCATTAAAGCAACTCTCAAAGATTCGGATTGTCCTTTACCGTTAGTCTTCATCCTCCCAACAGCTCTGCAGTCTGTGTCATGAAACTCCTACTGTCTTGTTACCTCACTATTCCCTTCTAAAGTTTTACCATTATAGCCCACTTCACACCTCCTCTGCCACACTGACAAATGCTACTGTGACCTACGGTGCATATTATAGTTCTAGTTATATCTGTAGAATCAAACCCGCAAAATCTACATCCTGATATGCCTGTGACTTGTGGGTCACCTTTGGCTGGCCCCCGATTTCTTTATGCTTCAGCCTCCCCAGCCATAAAACTACCTTGCTCTTTGAGATTTATGGCTGAAAACCACAGAACAGAGCTATACACTAATACTACTTATAAAGAGTTTTCAAGTGTGCTGCAACCTCTTTGAATGACTGAATCCATGCAGAGATTAATTATATCTGATAGACCTATAAATGAGATATCTATAAAGGGCCCTGCTGGACAGTGGCTATCAACCAACGATCTAACGTACTTTTTGCTTCTTCTACCGACTTGCTCAATTATTCCTTGATGAAGAGGAACAGATATATGAGGCGCCCCTGCATCTCCAACCTGAAATAAATTGCCCTCTTTTAGTTCTTTGCCATGGTAGTCTAAATGATGCTAAATGCATTTAACGTTCCTGTGGCAGGTTATCTTTTCTTGCAGGAAAAGAAACTTAGCTCAACTCTCCCTCCCCAGACTTCTTCGCAAATACCCCTGGCTACATTCAGCTCGGTGCTGGGAGTTGAGACCAAAAGAACTGAAGCTCTGCCTGAGAACATTTGCCACCCACATACTGCAACAGTGTTCAGGAGCTAAATCTTATTTATGAGGCTTAGTTTCATTTCCAGTCCTTTGTGCCAAAATGCCAATGCAATGTGATTTGTGCACGAGTGGTCGCACAGTTCTGGCATTATTTGCTACACACTGGCCCTCTCTTAATCTGGTTTTCAGGCTATAGACATAAGCCAGAAAAACTTACAGGCACACAAATGCGTGGAACTGTGGATATGACAAAGGACATCGGGAGATGCACGTAGAGACACATTCAAAGGTCAATAAAAAGTCTCAGAGAACTCTTAAGTAAGAGACATTGAAATAGCGCTGAAAATCCAATTAACTGTATTGTAACATCTGAGCGAAAATCCAGAACTGGAACCGGACAGCTTGCTTTGAACGCTTCATCGGGCATGTTTCTCTGTAATAAGCCAAACTAAAAACCTAGCCGAACTACAGACATCTGGTAGACAATACCCTTTGGGCTAATTTGGGACTGAACACAAGTCCATTTTGGTGCTCAGGTCTCTTCTGAATAGAAGGCAAGCAACTCTGGGTTTTGTCATGATATATTTAGGCAAGAGTTTTGAAAGAAAACTGATTCACCACCTTCATTCATGTTGAATTATAGCAAATCTAAAATTTACTCTCTACCCTCATTCACTACCCTCACTCATCTGAAAAGACTTGAGAGTGGCATTACAGGCACTCGTTCTCCAAGGGAGAACGTGTCCACGTGTCGCTTTGACGTGGGACCGTGTCTGACACGGGACCAACGCCGACCTCAAAGGAGCGCCTTACAGAGCTCAGTTCTATCGTCTACAGAAATTGTCCTATATATACTTGGGAAAGCCTAGCTTTTGTGTTCGTGTCTCCCTTTTGCGTCTGTATTTGTCAAAAAAGGGCTGCAAAGGCAAAGAAGAGAGTCCCAGTTCTGGATGCCTGCCAGGAAAATGTAACTCTATCCCACTCTCTGCCCAAGGTAAAGGCTAAAAAGTGTTCATCATTTGTGTCATCCAGCTCTTTCCCTCCCCGAGGCTCCAAGTGTCAAACTGCAACACAGCAAGCCTCAACCTGTGTCAAGAGTAATACTATAGCCGGCACAGGGTCATGAAACAAGCTGGAGTATCGAGCTTGGTTATAAACTGTCATGCTTACAAAGCAGCCTTTCGAAAAACGCAGCCAAGTCTCACAGCTACCAGGCTCGGTAGGTTTGTGCTCCTTCTAACAAGCTCCCACGTTTGAATCTTTGCTACAGGGACCAGCTGCGCCCGCCTGCGGGATGCCTTGCGCCTCAGCCCAGGCCAGGCTGTGGCTGAGCCCGGGCCCGCAGAGCACCGCTGGAAGGGCCCAGCCACTGCACCCCACCCGACAGTTCAAACTCCCTTCCTCCGCCTCCCCCCCGTCCCCTTCCTTTCCTATAAAGGCGAAATGAAAGCGTGTGCAGGCGGCTGCTGGATGCTCTTCCCCGATCTGCGCCCCCCACCCCAGCCCGAGGCGGCGGCGGGAAGCCGCTGGCCCCCCCTTTCCCTCGCCCCCCCGCCCCCGGGG